TTTGCTAAGGAAGAAAAAGTTTTATAAATTATATCTTTGTTTGCAAAAGGATGTTGTAAGAGTGGAAAAAAGCTGGAGTAGATAATAAAATATAGTGGTAATCTCTGGCCATTAGAATTAAAGCTATTTTTTATCCTCAAGAGAAATAAGAATTTTAAGCAGGAGCATAATATGATCTGAGATATGTTTTTGAAGATCACTGTAGTTGTTATGAAGAATGTTTGGTGGGACTAGCAGGTGGCATGGAGGCTAAGGTGGCTGGATCCCACATGGCCAACTTCACAGTTTAAGTTATGGACCCAGCCACATGGCCAATTTCACAGTTTAAGTTATGGACCCAGTGGCTTGAAATTCATGCTGGGCACATGTGTGTACATGCCCAAAATCCCAAGAGGAGACTGGAGGAGAAGGGATTGCAATGTGGCCATTACCCCCGGAAAGTGATTTCTCACTTTTTCCCCTGCTCCCTTTCTGGCCAGCACATGCCCTGTAGCAAAACTGGAGACAAAAAAGTGTGAAAAAATGTGTTGTAAAGGAGTAGAAGGGAAGCTATTCAGTGACCACACCAGAAAAGATGGTGTTTGTCCTACTAAGGGGCCAGAAGGAAGTGGACAGACAGACTTTAGGTAGCGTTAGGAAGTAGGAGTAACAGAATTTCATATTTATTAATACATATTGTATTTCAGGCATTATTCTATTGATAGGTGCTAAATAGTGAATAAAGCAGATAAAATCCTGTCCTATTTATTAAGGCAGGGTGGTGTGTAGTGGGGTGCTGGAGCTGGCTCATACTGGCTCATAAGCACTGGCTGTCAAATATCCAGGAATTTTGAGAGCTGGTTGTTGAAATGAAGCCATTATTAAAAATTAAACTGTTAAAACACTAAATTAGGGACCAGCAGTTGGTGTAATAACTATGTCACTGGACTCCCATGTAGTCAACCACAGTTCGAGTCTCGTACCCGGCAGCTTAAACTCACGCCAGGCGCGTGTGCCCAAGATCTCGAGAAGAGAATGGAAGAGAAGGAATTGCGGCATGGCCATACCCCTGGGGGGTGATTTTTCACTTTCTGTCTCTCTATCTCTGTCTTTCTGGCAAGCGCACACACCCTATAACAAAACAAAACAAACCTCTTCCCCCCCCAAAAAAAAATAAACTATAAGCTTTATAAACTTTAAATACACTAAATAAACTTTAAATACTCCAAATGTCTCACTTCCTAATTACTACATTTTACTATTACCTATGATCTTGGGGTCATTTTCAGCCATCATATCTGTATGGCAGAAATACCGTATGAGTACATTATTGTACATCTCTTGCCAACTCTACATTTGCTAATGTGCCATGGGTAGCTTGAAGCTGGCCATGGTAGAAATGTTTACACCACAGAAATCAGCAACTGTTACAAATCAGGGCATTTCCCCTCTAGAGAGCAGCTGTTAAATATTTACCGGCATATCCCTTGGTAGGGTTAGGAGGAGTTAGGCAGTCAGAGTTTAAATCATGCTCTACCACTTGCTAACGATGTGATTTGGCTAAGATATGTAATATTGGTTTCCTCACTCACAAAACAGGATTAATAGTACTGTCCTAGTTTGTGCAGCTATAACAAAGCACCAGAGATGAGGTAATTTATCAAGAACAGAAATTTATTTCTCACAGTTCTAGAGACGGGAAATCCAAGATCAAGGTGCCAATAGGTCTGACATCTGGTACCAGCTCTGTCTGTACTTCCGAGATGGTGCCTTGAACTCTATATCCTCTGGAGGGGAAGAATGTTGTTCCTCACATGGCAGAAGAGCACAAGAGGGAACCCACTCATGCAAGCCCTTTTTTCTTTTTTTAATATAACTTTTCTTTTTCTTTCTTTCTCCTTCCTTCCTTTCTACTTTCTTTGTTTTTCTCTTCCTTTCTCTTTCTCTTTATTGTTTTTTGTCTGCCTGCCTTTCTCTTTCTTTCTTTTTAAATTGGCTATAGGGCACATGTATTCACTGAAGAGAGACAGACAGGGGTAGGGAAGAGTGAGAAAGCACTACCCTCCTCCCCCAGGAGGATGGCCATGTTTCAATTCCTTCTCCATTTTGGTCTCAGGATTTGGGGCATACACACACATGCACCTGGTGTTTTACAAGCTACCAGGTCTGAGACTCTAACTATGCATATGGCCATGTGGGATCCAGCCACCTTCACCATACCATCAGCTGGCCCTGCAAGCTTTTTTATAGTGGCAGTAATCCATTCCTGAGGGTGGAGCTCCCATGACTTATACACCTCTCATTCAGCCTCACATTTAAACTGTAACAAGTACTACACATATATTTAAGGAAATAATTCATGTCGAGTGCTTAACATAGGGCCAGACACATATATGTACCCACTAGATATGAACAAATTATTATTATTATTTATTCATAGAAGAGCAAGAATGAACTATTATCAGAAGAGTAATTAGAGGCAAAGCAAATGTTTATGTTGAAGGGATCAGTTAAGATTGGTGAGGTCTTTTGCCTGCAAGGAGCTTTATCCCTAAGCCTTCTAACCCTGGAGAAAGGAAGAATCCAGTCTATTTTCTGGAGGACATGCCACGGGCCTCAGGCCCAGCATCTCCAGCATTCAGTGTGCCCTGAGAGGAATGACTGAGGTCAGAGAACTCAGATCTACAGAAGGGCAGGCTGTACATAGCTCTCCCAAGGGACAGCGAGTCAATGTCCAGCTTAACTCTGGCCCCTGCTGATGCAGACAGCTCTATCCAGGAAGATGTGCAAGCCCGCATTCAGGCTCCCTCTGGGGAAAATCAGGAAGCTGCTGGCTAGCAGGACTGAAAAGACTCCATTGGAAAGGAGATAGTTGGATGTCTCTGGGCTTTAATCCCCCAGGAAGTTGAACAAGAGATTGAAGTTCTCAAATCTGCGCTGGGCAGCATAGTTTGCAGAGAAAAGGAAAGCAACATAAAAGAAGACAGGGCATTAAAACCTCACAGCCAGGGTCAAGAGAAATGAGAGAGGAAGGCTGTGGAGAGGTTCCAGGGAAGAAAACCTGGGCTCTGACCTCCAGTTGAAGAGTGGGTGTGCAGTGAACCTTGCGACCAACCTCCAGGAGGTGCTCAGCCTAAGTACTGACCAGGGCTCCCCTCAGCGCAGGCAAGGCCTGAGGACTCAGGAGATAAGAAGTGGCCTCCTGAAGGGAAGAGAAGCAGGGCCAGCCCTATATTGGATGCCCTGAGGTGAGATGCCTTGTGTTGTGTGACAAACACCAGAGTGACCAATATATCCACAACCAGGATTCCAAAACTGGCATTTTTCTGCCACTCTGATCCTGCCCAGAAGTTGAGCTTCAGCACGCCATGCCTGTGGTGCAGAGAACCCTACTGGTCTAGTCCTTGGGGACAACGGGGGAGGGGAGGGAGAAGGCAGCGTCAGTCAGGGTCTCTAAGCCCCACTAGGGCAGACACATGCAGTAGGAAACAACAGTGAAAAGGAGCCATAAAAGAGCCTCCTAGGGTAGCTGAATCTGGGGGCTGTGAAGAGGACCAGAGCCACGTGGGAACGAAACAGTCACTTGAGCAACTATCATCCAGTAAATGTGCCATTCCCATCAAAGAGCCCTGCTAGGCTCGAGGCAGTGACAAGGGAATCTGTGACTCCTAGATTCCAGTATGTCCCCCATCACAACATACCCCCAATTTGTTACGTTCCCATTACCCTGGAAGAGGGAAACTTATCAGACATTTAACTGCAATACTAGTTAGTACCTGAAATGCATTTTCTTTTTAAATTTTAGGTTTTTGCCATAAGCCATGTGCGCTCACCAGAGAGAGGGAAAGTGAGAAATCATCCCTCAGGAACGATGGTTACGCCACAATCCCTTCTCCTCCATTTTCTTCTCAGGATTCTGGGCACGCATGCCCATGTGCCTGGTGTGATTTTTAAGTCACTGGGTCTGGGACTCAAACCACAGTCAGCCATGTAGGAATCCAGTGCCTTAACCACCATGCCACCTACTGGCTCTCGAAATGCGTTTAATTGGCAGGGATATACTAGCAAACAGAACAGATAAAACAAAACAGGCAAAAAAATAAACAAACAGGAAACAGGTATGTAGGTGAAATAATTTCAAGTTTTAGTAAGTGGCATAAAGGAAACAAGAATCTGAAATGGCTAAATAAGGTGGTCAAGAAAGGCTTCCCTGAAAAGGTAGCATTTAGGCAAGAGACAGCTGTAAATATTGTGAAACTCCAGTGACAGTTCTGTTTATTCTGTGATGGGTAAATAACAGCATTTTCCCACTAAGGTGGAAACTACCAAGAAAGGCTAATTACTAGTAATGGCAGTACTGTTCTGGAAGGGAGACACCTCCCCTTCCTGCACCCTTACTGTTAGCCCTTCCTTCCCAGGCAATTTTTGCAAGCGTGTTCCCAGTAGGTATGAAGGCTGGGTGAGCAGCTTGGCCATTTAGCAATGGCGAAAGAGTATTCTCAAAATCACTAGGCCAGGATAATGCTGTAGGAGTTCGGGAATTTCCCAACAAGTCCCCTGATATGTTTGGAAAAAACTGTTCTCTGAGTATTTCTAAGGACGTTTATCTGTGTGTGATTGCTGAGTGCATATAAGTATCTGTATCTTTAGTTGCCTTGCAACAAAATCTGAGACTTACTACACAAAAATGTTACCTCCCTCCTCTTCTCTCCTTCATCATTGTAGAAATAAACTTGAGCATGGAAAGGTGATCCTCAGTCTACACACTTCCCTGACTCGGGCACCTGGACCCACTGCCAGTATGATGAGAGTCACAGCTGGACATTGACAGCCTGGGATGGTCACTACTGAAGGGGGATGGGGGAACTGCCAGGAAGAGGGAATCTTGGACTAGGAATTCTGTCCAGACCCTGACCTTATTTGCAGTGATGTAATCTGCCAATATTGGTCTAGTGCTGGGGGAAAGCTCATTCCCAGTAGATTGGGAGTGGGGGTGGTGCTGCTACCAGCTCTATAAAGGCAGTTCAACCTGTGCCCAGGGCTGTCCCGTGGTCACTCCAGCTCAGCATGGCGAGGACACTGAGAGCACCAGTTGCCTTGGTGGTGTTGGGCCTATGCTGGTCTCTGGCTATTGCCAGCCCTCTTCCTCCGTGAGTAAAGCTGGGACTAGGGGTCTGGGCTGAACTAAGACAGGACCAGGTTTTAGGCCTATATCTAATTTGGGGTCAGGAGCTAAGGGAGAGGGATCAATTCCAATGGACTTGAACATCTCCCTGTGTTCTCTCTAGGGCTAGTGGCCATGGGAACGTTGCTGAAGGTGGGAATGGAACTAAGCCAGACCCAGACGTGATCGGTAAGGCCCATACCCCTGAGTCTGTCTGTCTGATGTGTCTCTGCATTTTATCATCTTGCTGGTTTTTCACTTTGCCATCTCTCTACCTCTACCCCAGAGCGCTGCTCGGATGACTGGAGCTTTGACGCCACCACTCTAGATGAAAATGGGACCATGTTGTTCTTTAAAGGTAGGAGGGGCTGGGGAACTCAGACTCGACCTGCTTCACAGAGGCCTTCCCTCAGTGACAAATCTTAGGAATTATGTGAGAGTATCACTGACTTCTTCCTTTAAGTAGGCCATAGGTGTGTCCTGGGTTCCTTAGTGAGTATGGTTTTTTTCAGGGGGCTTCGTGTGGAAGAGTTACAAATGGATCCGGGCATTGATCTCAGAGCAGTGGGAGAATTTTCCCAACTCCGTGGATGCTGCATTCCGCCGTGGTCACAGCGATGTCTACCTGATCGAGGTATTTCCGGACCAAGGTCAGGGCTGGGCTGGAAAGGGCTGGAATGAACACTAGAGACCCTTTCCCAAGTTGCATGAAGCCCATACCAATAGGTACCAGGTTCTCTTCCCCTTTATCTTCTTTTCCCTAAAAAGCTCAAACTCCGGGAGTGTGCACATGTGCAGGGTTGATGCAACAGCATTCAGTGTCTACTCTTTAGTCCTAATCTTAGCTCCCAATAGCTCTGCTATGCTGTTGGCCACCTTTTCCTTTCTGACCATTTTCTTCTTTGACTTCCTTGACCCTGTATCGGTCCTCTTCATATGGCAGAGTGCGTTGTTGCCAACAGCATGACACCTGGCCAAAGGCTTGAGCAGAGGATAGAACCCAGCCCATCGTGCTCACCAAGTCCTGTGCCTTGGCCTGGCTGGGCCTGCTCAGAGGAAGGGGTGCCTATCCTAAGTGGCCAAAGGGGCTATGTGGTTGGCCAGCCCTGACCTCAGCTTTGTTTCCTTCCTGCTTCCTTTTCCTCATCCTCATCTAGTGCCCAGACATTCCTGGGGAGTCCTTCCTAGTCCTTCCATACACATTTTTCCGGGTGTTCCCAACCATCATCATGGCTCTGAGGACTCTATGCCATGGACACTAAATCTCGAACTCTCTCCTACGATCCAGTCATCTTTCCAGTTTCCTGGCAGAAATCTCTGTCATAGCTGTTCCACATGCACCTCAAATTAAGCATCCTCAAAACTTATTTTAGCATCTTCCTTATAAACCAACCTCTCTTACTTGTTCTCTGTTTCAGTGGTAGCACCTGGTTACTACAAGAGAGGCCACAATCTGGCCCTTGGTTTCATTGAAGGTTGAGCTCCTCCCCTGCCACATTCACTGTAGTCAGCCAGTGAAACCACAGAAAATTCTCTGTGCAGAGATAAAGCAAACACTGTGCTTCCTTTACTCTGGGCCCTGCAGGCTACTCCCTCTGCTGGTAACTCTTCCATCACTTACCCACCTGGAAATTCCTTCTAATTTTTCAACTCAGCCACATACTTCTTCTCTGTTGTAAAGCCTTCCACCACTTCTCTAGGCAGATTTAGGCACTCCCTCTGTGTTCCTAATGAAGTTTTCAAACTTCCTGTCTTGGTGATTGCATAGCTAAGATTCTAAGAATCTTCTCTGGTTGTATTCAGTGAACTCCTTCAAGTCAAAGATAGGGTTTGTCATCCTTTTATCCCTGATGTCTCTCATAATGCCTGGCATGTGATAGTCATTCAGCAACTGTTTATTCCCATTAATTAAATAAATGAGCAGATGAATGTATGAATGGGTAGATAACTGTTTGTGGATGTTTGTCAAAACTGATGGTCTTATAGGTAAGTGTGCTGTAGGAGTGTCTAGTTATACACAGTCATGCATGTGTATGTGTTTTTTTTTTTTGAGAGAGGTTTTTTTTTTTTTTTTTTCCCATAGGGGGGTGCGCCCTCCTTCTGGACT